CAGGAAGAGGTGGGGGGAGGGGCAGAGGTGGGGGCTTGGGAGAAGGGGGAAGTGGGGGCGGGGCCTGGGGCGGAGCAGGATGTGTGTGTGTCAAGCACCTTTCAGGAACTCAGGAAGTTGGCATCTTTGGTCCTGGTGCAAGTAAAATTACATTAGAGACCATTCAGAAGAAAGATTATTATACAATTTCATGGAATCTGACTTGTAAGTATAAATAAAACAGACTTAGAAAATGAATAATTTAGCAATTCAGAAATGTGATATCTAAAAGTTGAAAGTAAAACACCGGACAATTAGGGATAACCTGGAGCCCAGGGCTGCAAACCTTTAGCTATGTGAGAGCTAAGAGTTCATCAAATCAATAATCATAATGATGGAACATTTATCAAAAAATGCAACCCTACGCAGATTTGAATTCAATACTTTTGAAGGAGAAATTAGATCATTAATCCAGTTTGATACATGCTTAGGCTAAGATACAGCTCTCATTTTGGCCACTGGCGTGCTCCCATATATATATTTTTTTCTTATTCATGCAGGATAAATACACGGAGAATAAAATAAAAGAATGGATGTACGTCTAGAAATTTCAAACAAAGGGCCCATCCTCACCATGAGACTGGGTGCACAGTGCATTCCTTAGATCATACTTTGCTCAACAGTTCTCACTTGCAACTTTTGAGGAATGCAGACTCTGTTTACTGCATTTTGCCTCTTCAACAGGAATGCAAGAAAATGAAAGAATAAACCCCTCCAATGTCCTGCGTTCTGCTACATGTCTCCATAAACACAGGACACTCACTAAAATAATGGAAGACTGAAGGCCAAATGCCAATCCATGTGTACATGGCTTCCTTCCCTATTCCCCTGAGTAAGCAGGTGCTATCTGAGGCTATCTGAGCCAAGGGCAGTTGGGCCCAGTGTTTAAGGGAGAGAGGGGGATTTTGCATCCCCCACACAGGTAGAAACCATGAAGCGGCTCAGGAAGTAGGAAACTCAAATCCCTTTCCACCTCCAAGCAGCCTTTTATGGATCTTTCACCAGCTCCCACAAAGAGGCATGTTCCAGGTAGCACCATTGCTGTGACGGGGTTGGGGGATGGAAAACTCACTCCCCCTTCTGACATTCCCCACCCAATCGCTATTGGGCGAGAGGAGGTATTTTGGACCCCATGGACAAGTTACATGTCTGGTTAAAAGCTCTGTTTTGTAGCTTGTCACTAGTAGGGTTGCCAATTTTGGTTGGGCGTATTCCTGGAGGCTTCATCACATGGCATAATAGTTAGTTAAAAATTCATTTTAATTCCTGGAGACTCCAGGACAATCCTGGAGGGTTGGCAACAACAGTCACTAAGATGTTTCCTTGCAGCTATGCAACATATTCAGTCAGCTGGAAGGCAGCCTGTGCCTCCTTTGACATCATCCCACTGTCCTGATTACGTCACTGGCAGTCAAGATGGTGGAATCACAGACACTTTTGGTAAGGAGGACTGGAGCTGGGTGGCCATGTATGTGTTATACAACCCCACTCAGAGGTTGACTTCCCTTGGAATAGGACCACCCACCAGTCCCTGGGGCTACATGCTGCGGACATGCCTTGGGACGGGACTCAGTCCAGAGTGATTCGGGCAGAACGAAAGCATATGCAGCCAACAGCATTGCAGGGATTAGTATTATCAGGACAGACCCATCCATTTTGAGCCCGTTACAGCTACTTGCAGTTCTCTTTCGCTCACGTGGTTTCAAGTCACTCCCTAGACTTTAAGCCTGAATCAGACTGTTAATGTCTAAGAGACATTTATGATAAATTTCCCAGTACTTAGCTTCTATCTAACCGTACAGGCCTTTCTTATGCAAGAGGGGCCTGGTCCAGCTCTCATCAAATTCAATGACAAAACTCCCATTAAATTGAAAGGCAGCAAGATGAGGCCCTATAACTCCAGTGACTGGGAATGATTCCGCTTGGGGCTTGACTGGAATTGAATGCTGTCCAAATTGATTCACGTCTCCTGAAATTCTTTGGTTTTGTTTGTGGTAGCGTGGCTAGTTTGCCATTCGTCGACAACATACAATTTGTACAAGAATATGCTAACGCTTCATGAAATTTAAATGTTACTTTTGATTATTCCAGAATATAAAGCTGCAGTTAGAGTTAGGAAGTGGCATTTATCATAGGAGTTTGCAGTCTTAACACTGAGCAAATCCCTGTGTGCCTATGAACAAACAGGCTGAATGGGTTGGTTCAACTGTAATGTAGGCTCTGCTGGGGCTGTGAGCCACAGCTCTGAGAATGGCTAGTGGGGAGCCGGCCTGTCTCTGATCCCTGATGTGTAAGCAGAGTGCTGCTTTTACAGCCTTTCAGGTGTACAGTGTACTTTCTCCCATAGAGACAGCCATGGCAGCTGGTACTGAAAGGGGATAGGACCCTGGCCCCACTTCATTCCCACCTGCTCTTGGAAGACTACCACACCAGGGACTCCTACCAGGGACTGATCCCCTTACTTAGGCCAAGGTGGAGACGGATGTTCTGGGCAGCCCCAAGGAGCTATTGGAGGCTCTTAAACTGATTCTGAGGGAAGCCCAGTTCCGAGAGGGCTGTGTCATGTGTGCAGTCACCTAGCATTTGCCCTCTCTCGCAGGAGTGAATGTGACTCCACCCAGGAGCGTCGCCAGCTTTTCTGCCGCCCTAGGCGGCAGAAGGTCCCGCCCCGAAATGCCGCACCCACAGAGGTGGCGGAAGGTCCCGCTGCCAAAATACCGCCGCGGTCGCTGCCCCCCCCAAATTGTAGCGCCCTAGGCGACCGCCTAGGTTGCTTAATGGGTTGCGCCAGCCCTGACTCCACCACACCCTGGAATATAGTGGGGGAGGCCCCTTTGCACACCCCCAAAAAGGCCAGCCAGAATCAGCTGAATTTCTCCCCAGAAATATTTCCATATGTGACAATTTTATTCATACATGAGTCAGTGCCTCTGCTGCCTTCACTGGCTGATTTTAGTTTTTTACTGTGATCCCTTTTTACAAACAGCACTCAATCCTACAACCTTTACCTACAAGAGTAGCCCTGCCTTCAGTAGGGTTATTTACATGAGTAAGGGCTACTGCTGAGAGCAAAGGTTTGCCCTATTTTTTTATTAATTTAGAAGGCACAACAAATTTACAGAGATGTTTTCTGTTGGGTTCCATTCAAATTATTTGCCATCAAATGTGACAGCCATCCAGGATATTTAATTTTAGAAAGGTAATTGGCATGTTTTTATGACTTATTTTTTAAGAGCTGTTTAATTTATTTCTATAGAGACACAATTCCAAAACCTTATGAAACAGTCACATACAGCACAGATTCAAAAAATACCTGTTCCAAAATTGTGTTTATTCTCTCTACTTCACAGTCGATTAAGTATCTTTTTTCCTGTCGTCTGTCCATTTCCTCTATGATTCTCCTCAATTCCTGAACGTCCTTTATATTTCCCACAGACCTGGCTGTCACTTGCCAGTTGTTTTGTACTGCTGCTTCCATAATTGCCTGAAGAATGGAAAATCCTAGAGGGGAGAAAAATACAATGCAATTGTTTACTGAAAAAAAAAACTGGTTTAAATATGTGAGAACAGGTTAAAAAGTATATTATCTGAAAAGAAATATAGTAGATAGTACCCTGCAATCAGTTTATGACCTGAATGACAAGATGGTAGGGAACAGATTGTGCTTTCTGTTACCCTGGTGTCAATTCTGAGTAGCTCCATGGATTTTAGTAGAATTATTCCAGAAACAAATCACTGAGATTGGTAGCTGGCCTAACAGCTCTGATGGCCTGTTCGTAGTTTTATTAGGATCTATGGCAGCTAAGGGTGTGACCCTGCAGTGCTCACATGGGCAAAACTCTCATCGGATTCAGGAGATGAACAGAATCTAATGGGAGATTTGCCTGAACAGAGACTACAGGAATGGATCATTAATTGGTACAGACCCAACCACTGCATACGAGAATGCCAACTAAATCATCGAGCTGGCTACTGGAGGCATATACTGTAGAGCATGTTTGCTGATATTCACTTTTATTTCAAGAAATATTTTTAAATATGGAATGCAATAATATTAACTACACTTTTAAAGCTTATATTAAGGTAACGTTGACTCATTCAGCAGCCTCAACAGAGCAGCACAGCAGCATGAAATGAACAAAGAGCTGCACAGTGGGAAAGGTATGCAAGCAAACTGCAGTTCATTCCTTGAGCACAGCTGTGACTGGGCTACAGACAAACTTGAGCAAAGAGCCGTGAGCTAATTGTAATGAAGCTGGGAAGGGAAATCTCCTCCCCAAAGGTAGCTTACGTGGGAGCCCTGGGGCACTGATTTGTATTCCTTGTCTTGCAGCATTTAGTTTGTGTTTACTGACCCCCTTTTTCAAAAGGTTGAGACTGTAGGATATTTTCAATTATTTCCTATTTAGAAGAGTTCAGTTCAGATAGCATAGTTCACCTACTTGACAACTCAATGCACCTACTTGGGTTCCAATGGAATGCATCCATTTCAGTACAGAAACGTCCGAGTGGAATACGTTTCTATCTAAATAATTTATTCATAAATTATTGAATTAAAAGTTTAGTTACACTTTGGGGTCCTTATTCATAGTCCTACTTTAGAAGCACAGAATTACTTTGTGTATATTCTATGCACCCACATATACATATACACACGTACACACACATTTGCTAGGGTTAATTATTTATACTTTTAACATGGAAATTTACTAGTACTTTATGGCAAACTCCCTCACCCACTTTTGAGACTGAAAATCCTTGAGAGACACACAGGAACAAAGCACTGAAAGAACTGAACTATACCAGTTGCTATTCTGAGCTCAAATCTGAGATTTCATTTTAAGGATGTTTTTTATACTAAATAATTAGGACAAAGGGTCCGATCTCATTTACGCTGGTGTAAATTTGCAACAACTCCACTGACATCGATGGAGAGTCTCTGGAGCATTACTGGTGTAACCGAGGGCAGAATCTGACCTCTGTTGCTCGAGCTGTACCCTAACAGAGCCTGCATGTAGAGCATTAGGAGAACTTTTCATGAGGCTTCCCACCTCCTTTTGAAGTGCCCACACTATGGCTACCTAAAGCACCTTGAGTATTATTGGTTTTCCTTTGTATGGATGCGTATTATTGTCTTGTCCAAGGTGGTGACAATTTATACATACTCTGGCTGGGAATCTTTTCTGGCGTCTCCTTTCCACTGAAAACTATTAAAAGAGAGGCATTTACATACCTATAGTATGATAAACTCAGTCTTCCTCAACATCATATTTTACAAAGATGACTGTGATGTCTCAGAAAGTATTATGATTTCACTGCGAACAGAGGAAGTTCACATATAAGACTGAGGCCTGGTCTACACCAGGGGTGGAGGGGGGAAAATCGACCTAAGATACGCAACTTCAGCTATGAGAATAGTGTAGCTGAAGTTGACATATCTTAGGTTGACTTACCTCGTGTCCTCACAGCGTGGGGTCGACTGCCGCCACGCCCCCGTTGACTCCGCTTCGCCTCACACCACGGTGGAGTACAGGAGTTAACGGCAGAACGATCGGGGATCAATTTATTTTGTCTACACTAGACGCGATAAATCGATCCCCAATAGATCAATCACTAACTGCCGATCCGGTGGGTATTGTAGACGTACCCTGAGATACTCAATAGCTTACAAATGATGAATTCTGATATAGAAATGCAATTACAATTAACAGGAATTTACAAATGCTTTGTATGTAAAGATTTGCTTTTATAATAGTTGTTTCTACTAAATAAGAACTATTTACACCTTTCTGCTTTACATCATTCATAAATCTTGTGCTTGCGCTACACTAATAATAAATTGGTCCACAATCTTTAGCAATCTTCCAATCAAAATATACTAATGGTTTCAGTTTATGAACATTCTGATCCCATATGGGAGCTTGCAAGAAATGGCATTGCTCTATCTTTTTGCAAATAAAAATACACAAATGCTTATGGATATTTCCAAAGAAATAAGTTAAAAATAAATACATTGGAAAGAAGGTACTTTACTACACTCTCAGAGTAATGCACACTGGACAACATAATCCCAACTATACATACAAAATAATGGGATCTAAATTACAACTCAGGAAAGAGATCTTGGAGTTATTGTGGATAGTTCTCTGAAAACATCTGCTCAATGTGCAGCGGCAGTCAAAAAAGCTAACAGAATGTTAGGAACCATTAGGAAAGGGATCGATAAGACAGAAAATATCATAATGCCACTATATAAATCCATAGTCTGCCCAAACCTTGAATACTGAGTGTCGTTCTGGGTGCCCCATCTCAAAAAAGACATATTAGAATTGGAAAAGGTACAGATAAGGGCAACCAAAATTATTAAGGGTATGGGACAGCTTCCATATAAGGAGAAATTAAAAAGACAGGGAGATTTCAGCTTGGAAAAAAGAAGGCTAAGGAGGGAATGAAAGAGATCTATAAAATCATGACTGGTGTGGAGAAAGTGAATTAAGGAAGTGTTATTTACTCCTTCACATAACAAAAGAACCAGTCAACCAATGAAATGAATAGGCAGCAAGTTTAAAGCAAATAAAGGAAGTACTTCTTCACATAATGCATAGTCAACCTGTGGAACTTGTTGCCATGGGATGTTGCAAAGGCCAAAACTATAATGAGATTCAAAACAGAATTAGATAAGTTCATGGAGGATAGGTCCATCACTGGCTATTAGCCAAGATGGTCAGAGATGCAACCCCATGCTCTGTAAGTCCCTAGCCTGTGACTGCCAGAAGCTGGGAATGGATCACTCGATGATTACCTGTTCTATTCATTCCCTCTGAAACACTTGGCATTGGCCACTTTCAGAAGACAAGATACTGGTTTTACCAGTATGGCTGTTCTTATGTTCACGTCACCCATTCAGTTTGGTCTCTGCACTTCCTGGTTTCAGATGAAGTTCTATTAGGCCATATCTGACTTAATCAAAATCAGGATATCTTACAAGCAGGGCCGGCGCAACCCATTAGGCGACCTAGGCGGTTGCCTAGGGCGCTACAATTTGGGGGGCGGCGACCACAGCGGTATTTCGGCGGCGGGACCTTCCGCTGCCTCTGTGGGGGGGCGGCATTTCGGGGCAGGACCTTTCGCTGCCTAGGGCGGCAGAAAAGCTGGTGGCGCTCCTGCTTACAAGAAAGCCCTTTCATGTGCGATATACCCACGTGTGTGTGTGTGCACATGCACATGTGTGTTTTGTCCAGCAGTTGCTATTTCAAAGAAGAGCAAGGAGTGGGGAGGGTTATTCAACAACTTTTCTCTGATACATGTAAACATAATCAATTACTCACAGCATGAAAGAATTCCATGGACTCCCCACCACTTCTGTATCCACTACAAACTGTTTCTCCTTATCTTCAGGTACTTCTATGGCAATACCCCCCTCTGCCTTCATGATCGCCTCTCTCCATCCTTCCCATGATTTCTCTCTGTACTTTGCCATTTGTGTCCTCTTCTTGGGCCTTCTCTTCCACGTCTCACTCACAAACTATCATTTGCTCCTCCACTTCCCCCCACCTGACTGAGTCTCCATTGCTTTATAGAAACAGCACAAAACCCACCTCTTCCACATTTTCAAGAAACCATCAGCCAATTCCCTGAAAACATTATTGTAATGTACATCCTTAGCCATTATGAGACATTTGCATGAACAGCATGTTCCCAACTTCAGTTGTACTCTACCCTTGTGGATGCTGCTATATTTAGCAGCAGGGCTATTTTAAAAAAGGTTTTCTTTGTTTTTCTTATTTCCGACTCTGAGCGTTTCTTTGTTTAACTTAGCAACAGTAAAAATGTGATTGTCCATGGGGATCTCTCTGTTAGGGAGTGAATGGGGAAATGTCACTCCTAGTTCCTTGCACATCCATGAGTGAGCCAATGTAATCACATTTTCCCCTCCAGATAAATCTATTTTAGTGTGAGTGTTTCACAAAAGATACTCTCATATAACGGAGTGCAGGTGTATAGCTCTCATGAATGGCTCTAATTTTGTGAACCCCAGAAGGAAGCCAGCCAGCTACAGGGTGTCTTGCTCAGTTTTATGGCTATTGGTATGATAGGCATTGGGTCACGCTCATAAGTAGTTAAGAGGCAACTTGTGTTTCCAGTTCAGTTCGGGTCAAGGAGCAAGCTATTTGGGAAAGGTTTTGTTGCCAATTTGTTTCAGTTCAGCTGTTCCATATAAGTGTTAACCAAAGAAAGTAAATATGAGCTGAACTAAGAGAAACTAATGCTCTTGTAGGTGACTGTGACAGGACATGTTTTTAAAATGTGTTCATTGATACCACTACTAAGCCCTCATCAGAATGACCTTCTTCTCATCCTCTAACTCAGACGGAAGCTTAACATTCAAACCAGCCAATGTCAGGATGCTTCTGCCGGTTCTAAAGATACTGGTGATATCCAAAATCGAATCCTTGTCATTATCAACTGAATGAGCTGGAGGCAAAGGCAGAAGTAGTCTT